TGACACAGCTTCACTGGACACCTGGGGACCACCTTGCCCATGTTCCAGCAGAGAAAACCAGCTTTAAGTGAAGTAAGAAGCCCGCGGCCACATGGCTAACAAGGATCAGAATCAGGATTTGAATTCAGATCTGTCTGACTCCAGCGCCTCTACTGCTAGCATCAGTCACACTGATGCTTTCTCAAGCCATTCAGTGGTTCTGCACATCTTCTTGAGCCCATGTCTTTCCTTTTGAGAAGCTGTGTATCACAAGACTTAAGGGTGTGGCCTCCAGAGTCCACCTCCCTCAGCCTGAATCCTGAGTTTACTTACATACCTGATTCTACGAACATACCTACTTGTAAAGTATGTGACCTTTGGCAAATCACTTGATTTCACTCCATTTCAGTTTTCCCATCTGTAAAATGGGATAGGATATTCATGCATCATTGATTTAACTCAGAATACTACCTAGGCTATCCAGTATTTATATGTTTTGACCATAAATATATAGTTACACAGATACATACATACATAGGTAAGTTTTTATATGTTTTAACTATTATTTTCTGTCTTTGAACTTTTGCTGCTAATGACATAGCCTCAAAGAGCTGTACATCTAGATCTTTAATATTTTCCCAGGTAACATATATTTAGAGCTACAGACCGACAAGACTGAAGAAAAGACTTTCACTGTCCACCTATAAGGTTATGTCGTACTACGGGACAACCTTGTTTGCAGGGCACTCTGAAATAATATATGAATTTTATAAATATTGTAGTTATATTGTGAAGAGCACAAGTATATTGCATTCTTTTATTCAGGGGTAGAAATATTAATTCCTTATATGCAAGTATTTAAAATTAATTGGTATTTTTGTAATCTTGTTTCTGCCTTTCTTCATTTTTATACTTGGAGCTTCCAAAATGGATATGACCTGGATTTCTCTTGACCTCCCAGAGGCCTCCATCTATGCCAAGATACCAGGATTGGAAGAAGCTAAACCTCAGAAATCCCCTTGGAGACTGAAATGTAAATGAGGGGGGTTCTGCCCTCCCAGGAGGCCCTGTGGTGACATAGCTGAGGTGGCCAAACCTGGTGGTAGGATCTGGAGCCATCTCGGCTCATTGCTAGAGTCTGTTCATGCAGACTTGCCTGTGACCCAAGAAACTATGGGAGGAAGTTCTGACCCAGATTCCTTCAACAGCGCCGTGCTGAGCAGCAAATGGAAATGCAAACCCATTTTCCCAGAACAGAGCTTCTCAACCTCAACACTGATGACATTGAGGGTCAGATAATTCTGCCGTGGAGCCTGTCCTGTGCCTCATAGGATGTTTAGTAGCATCCCAGCTCTACCACTAGATGCTGGCAGCTCCCCCTCCCTCGGCTGTGACACCAAAAATACCTCCAGACCTTGCCAATTACCCCGAGGGGCGCTCACAGCCCCCTCCCCTCACGGAGAACCTCCATCACAGAGTAAGTGGCGGGTGTCACAGGCAGGCGGTTTGCTAAACCAAGTCCCAGGCACATGCGTGGCTGGTGCCCTGGTCAGACAGTTTTGGAGAAGTCCGTGATGATGGTTTGTGTACAGAGGTAGTTGGGGTGGGAGGTTGGCCTTGGCTTATCTGGATCATTGACCAACACTCCTTCTCCACACTGTCTTGTAGGCAGGGCCTTGATCTCCTTTGGATGAAAAGACTTGCTTTTTGCAAAAAAGCAATTTTGCAAAAAGCAAAAAGATCATGTTTCATTAATAGGTATATAGAGACATAATCTAAAGTCCGAAATCCTAGGAGTTTGGGGCAGTCTGTAAACACCATAGTTTCTTGTTCTAATTTTTATGCTCTCAAAGGACATTTCTAAGGAAGATGTTTCAGACGGTCAGCCCCACTCCCTCTGCCCATGTACCCTTGAAACATCCTCTTTCAAGCCATTCACACTTCTTTCCCCTGACCCCCTTCTCTGCTCCTGCCCCTTGAGTGGCCTCTCTGTCCCACTTGGAACAAAAGATGCTTTTGGCCAAACTCATGCAGGCATATGTGGTTTTAAAAAATGCCCTCAGCTTTCTGTGTCATCCCTCCCCAGAATGGAGTGACTTATATCTAATGCTTGGTGAAGAAACTAATTCCTAAGTTGTCATCAGAAACAGCCGACTGGAAAGGGTGACTGCCTATATTTAATAATAGATGTGGTGTTTCAAAGCTTTCTTCACAGTGTCCCCTGGTGAGACCCAGCAGGGAAAAAAAGCCACCCAGTAGGGAAGGCAATTTACCAGACATTCGCAGCAGGCTTGAAAAACATCTCAGACCTCTAGTCAAGGAGAAGTGACTGGCAGCAAAAGGATGCACAAATGACTATCAGAAAACGTCTCTGAGAACACGGAGGTCTTAGAACGACTTATAACAGCTGAACAAAAAAAACATTATGAAGGGTCTTCTCCCACATCCCGCCCTGGTCTGCCCCCCAAGCCCTGACATCTACAGATGGTCTTTTCAAGCATGTTTTGGGGTATCCTTTGTGAGATGCCTGATGCAGTCACAGCGGTTTGGGAAGACAGAGAAGCATCTCAGACCCCAGCGTACTCAGCAGTCACCTGGGCCTCCAGTTAAAATGCAGAGTCCGGGGCCGTAGGTCTGGGGTGGCAGTGAGATTCTGTGTTTCCTGCAAACTCCCAGTGAGGCTGATGCTACTGTCTGGGGAGCCCACTCGGAGAAGCAAGGGAGTCGAGTCGAGCACGTCTTTTAGGGAAAGCAGGGGTCAAGCAGAGAGCCGTCCGACTTGCCCACAGCTGCCAACAACGGCCAGAATGAGTGGAGTGTGGGGCTGGGGGGAGGCAGTGCTGTCCGCTTCCCTCCGGTGCTCTTCTCCTCATTCTAAGTAGAGGCAGCAGTGGGAGGAGAAGGAGCCGGACTGTGCCTTCCTCACTGGACAATTAAAGGATTTTACCCAGCCATGGGTCTCCCAGGTGGTGCTAGTGGTAAAGAACTTGCTTGCCAATGCAGGAGATAGAAGGGATGCAAGGTCAGTCCCTGGGTGGGGAAGATCCCCTGGAGGAGGGAATGGCTACCTACTCTAGCATTCTTGCCTGGAGAATCCCATGCACAGAAGAGCCTGGAGGGCTGCAGTCAATGGGGTCGCAAAGAGGCAGACACGACTGAAGTGACTGAGTTCCCACCCAACGATACACAACCTCAGCTCGTGCTGCATCCTGCCTGCATCCATGACCTTCCCTCAACACAATCGATCAAGTAGCCAAGTGACCCCCACACACTAAATCACGAACAAAGGCCAGTCTGTCTAACCCCAGGCTGCCACTGAGGCCCCTTCCCTGCACCCTGAACCATGATGTTGTCCAACGTCCTGAATTTCTGCTGCCTGGACATCACAGTTATTTACTTATTTCCCTATTTCACTTTAAAAAAAGCACATGCTGGGCTTTCTCAGTCGGGTCTTGTTCCCTTAAACACAGATGTTTTGAAGATGAAGATTCTGTATGTACAGTAGGAAATTAGACAAACAGAACGATGTTTCAGTTCCAGCTGCTGGTGCTGCTGAGTCGCGTCAGTCGTGTCCGACTCTGTGCGACCCCATAGACGGCAGCCCACCAGGCTCCCCCGTCCCTGGGATTCTCCAGGCAAGAACACTGGAGTGGGCTGCCATTTCCTTCTCCTCAGCTGGTCTATTACAAAACAAAGAACAGCCATAAAAACCTCGGGTGCCTGTGGAAGTGTGAGGAGCTTCTGGTGGTTTATTCTTGAGGTGCTTCTGACCGCCCCCCCCCCCCCCCACCACACTGGAAGTTTTATTTCTTCAGGATTTTCCCCAACCAGTCGTTTAAAAACAACACAGACCTAGGGGGTAGGGATTGGGAACTGCGTCTCCCTCCTCCTCAGCATGGACAGCAGTGGAAAAAGGAGTAGACAGGAGAGGTGGCTAAAGCGAGACAGCAGCAGTAGTAACAGGGGCCGCTCCCTCCTCGCCTAGGCCGTTATGTTGGGGTGGGGTGGGTACGACCCACCCCAGGCCCTCCCGTGGCCCTCCTGAGATAGCCTCCTTGGGGGCTCAATCCATTTCTTCCAGCAGGGGGCTGAGGCACACAGGAGAAAGTGGGAGGAGAGGATGTTGGAGAGGCAGGGGGGTGGCGCAAATGAGGTGGGAGGCGTGGGCAAGCCTCTAGCTTAGAGGCCCTTGGACCCTCCACCTCCACACCCACCCTGCGGAAGGGCGAGGAAGCCACGCCGGCACGCAGCCTTTGGCGGAGATGAGGTTGGCTTTAAGGCTGAGGGGCCCCGAGGCAGGTGGGGCTGAGGGCCTCGGTCGCAGCCGTGCCGGTCACTGTGCTGAGCCGTATCCTAGCTCAGCACCCACGCACTCGACACCGCCTAGCAGCAGGGGTGTGCGGCGGTGTCCGTCCGGGACGCGCGCCCGCGCCGGCACCGCACGCAGGTGTCGGCGCCACCTCCACAGGCCGGCAGCATCTCCTCCTGAGGACGCCCTCCTTGTGCGCGCGCCTCCACAGGCCGGCAGCATCTCCTCCTGAGGACGCCCTCCTTGTGCGCGCGCCTCCACAGGCCGGCAGCATCTCCTCCTGAGGACGCCCTCCTTGTGCGCGCGCCTCCACAGGCCGGCAGCATCTCCTCCCGAGGACGCCCTCCTTGTGCGCGCGCCTCCACAGGCCGGCAGCATCTCCTCCTGAGGACGCCCTCCTTGTGCGCGCGCCTCCACAGGCCGGCAGCATCTCCTCCCGAGGACGCCCTCCTTGTGCGCGCGCCTCCACAGGCCGGCAGCATCTCCTCCTGAGGACGCCCTCCTTGTGCGCGCGCCTCCACAGGCCGGCAGCATCTCCTCCCGAGGACGCCCTCCTTGTGCGCGCGCCTCCACAGGCCGGCAGCATCTCCTCCTGAGGACGCCCTCCTTGTGCGCGGAGTACTCGCACTTGACCCTGTAACCTCTGGGGTGGGCGTGACGCTGAGGAGCCGGAGGTGCAGGCTGGGGACAGCTGCGTCTCGGGCGTCCTGGCTCAGCCTGTGCCCTGGGGCAGGGTGACGGTGATCTCATACCTGTGCAGGATCTTCAGGAGTCCAGCCTTGGCCAGAAAGCTGCTGTCGCTCTCCCGGGTGACCACGACCACAGAGTCATGCAGCTTCTCATCAAAGTGGACATGACTCTGGGCGCTTTCTGCATCATGGCTTGTTGCGAAGCGGATACTCCGGACTCTGGACTTGCTGCCCTTGTTGGCTGCAGCCATGGACGCCCTGCCTGCCACAGGGAGAGACACGCAGCTCCTGCCGGACGCCACCGGTCATGCTCAGCAGCCTCGCATGCTCCAGGGACGCCAGCAGGAGCGTGCGGGGAGCACCCTGAAGCCGCGACGGTCAGGGACGACCGCAGCGGCGGCAGTGGCTGAGGCGGCGGCTCTGGAGACCGCGGCAGCAGCCGGGGCTCAACGCCGAGCACGAGAGAGCCCCGCGCAGCCGCCGCGCGCTGCCTCTTGAGGTGCTTCTGAAAGGTTGCAGCTAAAAGCAAAATTCATGTTCAAGGTGGTCTTAGCAACTGGAAGCAAATAAGTCTCTTGTCCTCCAGGTGGAAGTCAGATAAGGAGTCTGTTGCTGCGCTGCACTGGGCCGTGGAAGGAATAAAGAGGGCCTTCGACCGCAGGCTCTGTGAGCCTTTCCTCGTTTAGAAAGCTCTAGGGACTTCCCTGGTGCTCCAGTGGCTAAAACTCCAAGCTCTCAATGCAGGGGGCCTGGGTTCAATCCCTGGTCTGGGAACTAAATCCATATACTGCAGGAGGGTTGAAGATCCCAGGGGCCGCAACTAAGACCCAGCACAGCCAAATAAATATTAAAAAACAAAAAAACCATTAAGAAGCAGTTGAGTCTTTGAAGTCTTTCTCCGCTTTAACAAGAGACTCAAACCCCAAACTCCCCAATTCAGATTGTTCCCTGTGCAGGGAAAGAGGAGTAAATCCAATTATGTGTTAACACAACGACATTCTGCTCCTCACACCCTGTGGTAACAGAGTCTTGGAAGCCAGGAGATGCCTCATAGGTGTGTGCCCGGGGGAAGTGATGTCCATCACTGAGTCACTCTTTGGGGGTGAAGTCAGCCTTCAGGAAACTTTCCCTCTGATGCTTTTTCTATTTATCCACAAGGCTGAAGACTCAGGTCAGTGGGAACTTGGCCCAATAAAAGTCATATTTCTGAAAGGGGAAAGGGGCGGGCTCAGAGGCATAAATGGGCCAATCACGTCTCCTGTTTGACCCATCATGCGGTAAAGCATGATCACAGCTGGTGACCCATCTGCCAAAGAGGCATGGGGTTGATCCTGGGGTAGTGGGTCCCTGGAGGCTGTCTGCCCACCTCTCGCCACCTCACTCTGCACGGAGTCAGCCAGGCAGTAACTTGGTGCCCAGGCTGTGTCTGTGTGTCAGGGAGCATCTTGAGGGACCGGTCATACTCCTCTCCGTCCCCAGTGAAATCAATACACATGAAATATTGGCTGATCTGATCAAAACCCTGATAGCACTCAACACTCCTTTCTCCACCAAACAAAACTCACAACAAAACTACATCCTGAAGCCGCTGACCTTGGACTAGTAGCTCACCATAGATATACACGATTAACCTCTGTCTTAGCCCATAATGCTTTTTCTTCCTCTTCTGAATAGTTATCTGAATGGTCATTTTTAAAGCACTGGGGAGGAGAGAGGCATCATGTTTTCCCCACCTCTCTTTACAGGAGGCAATAAATGAAGCGATGTGGGCTTGTTTAGAAGTCAGCTCAGCTCTGGTCCACAGCAGAGCTCTGCACTTACCTTTTATTTATTTATTTTAAAAAATATTTATTTACTTATTTGGCTGCACTGGATCTTAGTTGTGACATGTGGGATCCCTGACCAGGGATCAAACCTGAGCCCCCTGCATTGGGAGCGTGACATCCCAGACACTGGACCACCAAGGAATTCCCTGCTCTTGCCTTTCAGCTTTGCTCTCTGCACCTCAGCTTTCCCATGTGTAAGATGGAAAACAGATCCTTATCAGGTAGGGTTCATGGTGAGGATTGAGATAGTGCATATAAAGTACTTGGTATAGTATCTGCCACATGATGAAAGCTGAATAAGGGTTTGATCTTACTATAATGTCCAAGTCAGAGCAACGCTGTATTTTACCTGTTTTCATGTTTGTATACATGCAGAATGTCTTTCCATGGTAAGAATGTAAATGATTTCCTGTGGTGGTCATTTACCTGTCAAGAAAACATTATCTAAAACCAACCCCATCCTGTCATGCCAATTTCTGTGAAGATATAAGAGAAGAATATGAAACATAAAGGAATGGGAAAACGCCACTCTCCCGTGCACTGAACATGATGTTTCGGTCACATAGAAGCATCTCTGATGCAGCAAAAAGAGGTGCCACTTCCAACACCACTGGGATGAAACGTGACAGAGACTGACACAGAGTAAGATTCCTCACCTGAGAGCTCAGAGCAGGAGTCCCCGGGGGGCTCCAGGGAGTGAGGCTGTCAAGAGGGTGTCCAACTGGAATCTGGTGGTTGACTCCTCAAACCCAACAGTGTAGTAAGGGGGGGCTGTCAGGCTGCCCAGGGCTGGATGACTGCTGAGACACTGCCGGCCTCTGGGGACCCAAGGCTGTGCGGAGCTGGATTTAACTGATCAGAGTGATAAGACCGGAGGCAGCCAGCTCCAGGGTAGGGACAAACCCCAGTTTACCTCCTGTTCTCCCTGCTTGCCCAGCCCTTGGTGAACACTGCATTCTGCATTTTGACAGAACCCTCCTCCCCACTCCCCCCACTGCTGCAAAATTGCCTCTCCACCTCTGACTTCATCAATGCAGTGACAGTCCCATTCTTCCTTTTTTTAAATTTTAATTTTTTTGGCCATGCCAAGCGGCTTGCAGGATTTTAGCTCCCCAACCAGAGACTGAACCTAGGCGCACAGCAGTGAAAGCATTGAGTCCTAACCACTGGACTACCAGGGAATTCCCCTGATGTTCCCATTCTGTAGGTGAGAAGACTGAGGCTGGTCGGGGAACTCACTTACCAGGGCTCGTAGCCAAACTAATGCACCACTCATGGTTTTTCTCTGCCTTAAAAAATGTTATGCATTTTGTGGCATTGACACACATGATTTCACATACCTGGCTTTCTTTCCACTTTAAAAAATGGTCCTCCCTAACTTGATTGCTTTACTGAAATCTATTCTTTTCCCCTTTATAAAAAGAAGTTCCATTTTTCAGTGACTGAACTGCTTCTAGCTACTCTTTCTCTTTCCAGCTGGTGAGGTTTGGTAGGACATTTCTCTTCCTTCTGTATTCGGTAAGTAAGACTAATGAATAGATCTGCTGCCTCACTAACTGTATGAGGATAAATAAGGTGGCAGATTTTAATAAAATGAAGCCTTGGCAAAAAGTAAAGGCCGGGAGATCAAATTCTATGTAAGATCTATGAAGATTGATTTCTTTTCTAAGGCCAAATTGATGATTACTATCAGAAGGAAAGAACTAATAAGGACAAAATCCCTGACTTGTAGGAGACCTTTAGATTCTACCTCACTTCTGTTTACTGCTTGAATCTCTAGCAAGTGGTTGACCAGGATTTTCTTGAATGCTTCTGGTGATGGGGGATTCACTACCTCATGAGAGAAGTCACTTATCTTGAGAAGGCTTTGTTCTGACTTTTAGAAGTTCTTTTTTGTACTTAGGTGAAATGACTGAAGAGTGCATAACTGGAACAGCTCTAATCCCTGTGGCCATAATGAACGAGGCTAATTCCTCTTATGTATGAAATCTCTCCCTTGGAATATAACCATGATGGTCACCCATGTCTTCTCTTCTATTGAGAGAAGCAGCCCCATTTCTTCAGCTGTTCTGTCACTGTCTGATTATTTCCTTCTGATGGGGCTGCAGTTTCTCTGTGGCTTTCATTAAGTGCAGGGGACACCTGTCATTTCATGGGTGCCCATCATCTTTCTCTATTTGTAAAATCCATGGTTTAGGTCCCGTCTCCCTAATGCAGCAGTAAGAACTGAAATCTCCAGCCTCCCTTGTACCGAAGACAGAGTCACGTGTCTCGGGCTCCTGCAGTGGGATTCACTGAGGGGAAACACTGTTCTTGCAGACGGAGGCAAAAGCACTGAGCATCTCGGGGAGGTTGGGTTCCTGGTGCAGGAATGGGATAGGTGCTTGTGGGTGTAGTAGTCACGAAGTCAAGCCCCTGGTAACTGCAGATCTGTCATTGTTAATTCCTGCCTTCCCGGCATCTGCTGGCAGCACTGACAGCAATGACCTCGTCAGGACTTTCCTGTGTCACGGTTTGCAAGTTATCCCTAAAAGCCTTGTCTTTGACATGGTTTCTCTAACCCTCTCAACAATTGGATGAATCATCTATGGGAGCATATTCACTACCATGTGTAAAGTAGATAACCGATGGGGATTTGCTGCATGACTCAAGGAACTCAAGGCTGGGCTCTGTAACAACCTAGAGGAGTGGGAAGGGGTGGGAGGCGGGAGGGAGGTTAAGGAGAGAGAGGTCACATGTGCACCTGTGGCTGATGCGTGTTGATGGGTGGCCGAGGCCAATACAGTATTGTGAAGCAATTTTCATTCAATTAAAAGATAAATAAGTGTGGGAAAAAATAACATCTTTGAATAAATTCCGTTTTGTCTTAAATTAGCCGGAGTTGCTTGCTGCTGGGAACCCTGTGCTGGATGCACAGCCCCAGCGGGGATCCCCCCAGAGCACAGAGACCCATCACGCCCGCATCCCAGCCATCCTGCTTCTTCTGACGTAGCCTGGACCCAGACTGACTCTCCCGAGTGACCACGCCACACACCTGACTCACGTTAAATGTAACGATCAACTGAAACCCTCACACTTCTGGGGCAGGGACTCATTCCCTGGTCCAGGGGATTTCTAGGAAAACAGACTTCATGTACTTTCTTATTACTTGCTCAACCGAAAATGGTGTCTGAGCTTCCCCCCGACCCCCAACCACGATATTTAATGTATGAGAGTGATGCCTTTGAAGTGCTGAAAAAGTGCAGTCATTCCCTTGACAAGAGAAGAGGAGGAATTATGGATGAAATCCTGCCCCCTCCCTCCCCTGCAGCACATGCTGTCGAGTCTCAAGGTCACCCGGCAGCCGTCTCAGCCAGATGCTTCACTCCTCTCTCTCCACTATCAAAGTGTTTTCAAGTGAACCACAGAAGGGACAGCTGCCTTTGATTGTTCCCTTCTTGATCCTCCTGGGTCCCTAACCACTCCCAGGGGGTCTCCGTGAGTGCAGAAAGAGGCCTCATAAAACAGCCTTAAAATAAACAAGAATTTTCTCCTTTTCTTCTACTGCCTGCCCTGAAGGAAAAAGGGAAAAGAAAAGCGGTGGAGAGGGTGGGTGTTTGATGGCAGAGAGGAGAGTCCCTTATGCATCTTACAACATCAGTAAACACCTGTGAGATAAATACATTTGATTTAGACCCAACGCAGATCAGGAAAAAGGGAGGGTAATATGGAGTTCTGTGCAAATAATTCCTTAGGGGTAACTCTGAAACCACCTAGAAAAACAGAATTTGAAATGATTCCCCCAGATGTACTAAATGTCTTCACGGTCTGGGTCAGAAAGACAGGCTCAGTCCACAAGGTTGAAATTCCAGAAAGGCCAGGTGATAGAACAAAAGCCCCAGGTTGGTCTGGCAGCAGGAAATGTTGGAGATGAATCTCCACACGCTACACCTTTGCTACTCAAAGTGTGCTCCCTGGACCAGCAGCATCAGCATCACCTGGATGCTTGTTCAAGATGCTGAATCCCAAGCTCGACCTAGCCCCACCGAACCAGAACCTGCATTTCAATGAGATCCCCCATGATGTGTATACGAAGTGAATGTGAGAAACCTTTTCCAACACTGTCAGTGGGATGTTTGGGAAAAGTCAGTCAGTCCTAGAAGGACCTTCCTGCAGAGCTGAAAGACCCAAGTGAGAGCAGTGGATCTCAGTGATCCGTCAGCCACGCTGAACGGTAGGACTAACGCCATGGGACGGTCTCCCCGCAGTGCTGCGGGGCGGGGCAGTCATGTCTAGCTCTCAGGAGACACCACTGTTTTCTGGGAGCTCTGACCGGAGAGGCAGCTGCCAGAGTCAGCTGTCTCACTGCCATACTTTCTGACATGCTTGTGCTTTTGGTAAAAAGGAGAGGGACACTGGGGAATACTACTGAGCAACACAGAAGGAACAAACCCTTGATCCGCACAACATTCATTCTTGGATGGATCCCAAGGGCATTGTGCTGAATGGAGAAAGCCACTTACTATATGGTTGCACTTATACAACATTCTCAAGATGACAACACTACAGAGATGGAAAACAGATCAGGGGGTGCCAGGGGTTAAGGATGGTGTTGGAGGAGGAAGTGGGCAGGAGTGACAATAAAGGGACAGCATGAGGGGGAATCTTTGTGCTGCTGGAATAATGATTGTGGTGGTGGTTAAACACCTGTAACATGTCATAAAATGGCTTATAGCCATAAACTCACATTGTGCCTGTGGCCGTTTCCAGGTCTGATACTATATTGGAGGCACTTGAGATGTTACCATTGGGGGAAACTGGGGGAAGGGTACACAGAACCTCTCTGCACTCTCCTTTCAACTTCCTGTGGATCTATAATTACTGAAAAACAAGAAGCAAAGAAAACAAAAGGAGATGGCTGTTGTGAGGCCATGATCTGGTGAGATGCATCCTTACAGTAACATATCCTGGGGGCCTTGTTTGTGCTCGTGCTCAGCCGCTAAGTCGTGTCTGACTCTTTGAGACCTCATGGACTGTAGTCCGCCAAGCTCCTCTGTCCATGGGATTCTCCAGGCAAGAGTACTGGACTGCATTGCCATTTCCTTCTCCAGGGGGTCTTCCCAACCCAGGGATCGAATTTGTGTCTCCTGCTTGGCAGGTGATTTTTTACCACTGAGTCACCTGGGAAGCCTGGGAGCCCAGTTGCAAGGCCTTTCTTTACTTTCCTGCCTGTTTTACTGAAGACATCATCATCAAACTCTGAGGTCCCTTTTCCGATGCAGTCCAGAATGTTCTATCACACTTAAACAGCATCACCACCATTCTGAGATATCTATCTATATAATACGTAAATGTAGTAACAGCAGTGTGTGTGACATGTCCCAGCAGAACATCAGCTCAGACAGACTCACTTTGAGTTGAGGAAAGAAACAGGTCCAGAGTGAAGAGGGCCTGCCAAGCTCACCCAAGCAGCTGACAGCAGCGATGGGCCCAGAGGTGGGAACTGGTGGCCAGCCTGGAGCCCCTATCTTATACCACCTGCCTCCTGTCTTTGCAGCTGAGTACCAGAGGTTTGCAATGGCATTAAAATTCAGAACGCATCCAAAGGTTAACTCTGAAAAGCAACATCCAAAGAATGTATCAGCGACATCAGGGCATCTCTTTTAATTGCCTATTCACGCAGGCAGAAAGTCTTTTCATATTCAGAGCTAAACTTAGAGACACGTCCTTTTGTGGGGCTCTGTTATCTGACTGCCTCATCAGGAATGGGAACTAATGTGCAATGTGATTGCTGAGTTTGAGTTCTATTTTTTTTTTTTTTCCTATGAAGCAGGAAGTTTAAAATGTGCTGGGTTATTTTTAAAGAGGGTGAAAAAATAGGCATCCTACCAACTTCTGTAACAACCCTGTTGAAGGGCACGTGCTGCTTTATTCAAGGCACTGGCCAGCTGGGAGGAACAGCAGTAGCCTGAAGTCTCACCAGGGAGGTTTCCTGGTTGACAGACTGGGGATGAGTGTCCCTACACTCAAGTGGCAGCAAAGGACATGGGCTTAGTTGCTGACTTGATGCGGACAGAGATCTTGGGGTGTTTTGGCAGTGATATCCCGCAGTTTGTTTCCTTTAGGAATTGCACGCTCGTGCTCAGTCGTGTCAGATACTTTGCGACCGCATGGACTGTAGCCCGCCCGGCTCGTCTGTCCTTGGGTCTTCCTAGGCAAGAATACTGGAGTGGGTTGCCATTTCCTGCTCCAGAGGATCTTCCCAACACAGGGACCGAACCCACGTCCCCTGCGACTCCTGCACTGTCAGCTGGATTCTTTACCACTGCGCTGCCTGGGAATGACAACCCACTCCAGTGCTCTTGCCTGGAAAATCCCATAGACAGAGGCGCTTGGTGGGCTACAGTCCACGGGGTCGCAAAGAGTTGGGCGAGACTACGCACGAGCGTGAAGTTCCTAAAGGAAACAAACTGCTAGATATCACTGCCCAAAAAAAGAAAAGCAAAACCCAGGTCCATAGGGTCACAAAGCTTTGGACACGACTGAAGTGACCTAGTGTGCAGGCATGAAAGAAAATCTAGTTGAACTTGGTTTCATTAAGTTAAACATTTCTTGCTCACCGACATTGCAAAGGGTACTGTCCTAGGAAGAGGATTTGCAACACAATTGTGTTGGTGCAATTTTCTCACACCCCCTGGAAGAACAGCAAAACCCTAGAGAATCATAAACCACCATGGGGGAACACTGCAGCAGAAAGTTCAAGAAATGAATGGCAAACTGGTCAATCTTCCTTTCCTTGGGTGAGTCATCTGTTTCCTCTTCTCTCTGCTCAGTCTCAGAAGTTCAGAACGCTTTTTCTTTGCTACTGCAAGTGGAGGCCCTGTCAAAATACCTTCTCTAATATCCTCCCAACAACCCTGTTAACTAGCTATTTTTAATTTTAAAAATTTTTTTTTCCCCATTTATTTTTATTAGTTGGAGGCTAATTACTTTACAATATTGTAGTGGTTGTTGCCATACATTGACATGAATCAGCCATGGATTTACATGTGTTCTCCATCCCGATCCTCCCTCCCGCCTCCCTCTCCGTCCCATCCCTCTGGGTCTTCCCAGTGCACCAGCCCTGACACTTGTCTCATGCATCCAACCTGGGCTGGTGATCTGTTTCACCCTTGATGATATACATGTTTCAATGCTGTTCTCTCAAAACATCCTAACTAGCTATTTTTTAAATGCAGTTTCTTAAAAGAGGAAAATGAGAACTAGATGGTGCAGTGACTTTTCCACCAGTTCAAAGTGAATCAGAGGCTGAATCAGCTGAGACAGCCAAGGTTTCAGGCCTGCACTGGAGCCTGATGCCCAGTAGCAGGCACTGTGGAGAAGCTGGGAAATTTCCCCCTGACTTGAGCCCTGAGGCCAACAAGCCCAGGAAACGCTCTCCCAGTTGGGGAGGGTGTCCACCTGGGGCCGGTGGGAAAGGGAATCAGGAGTGGGAGGATGTGAATACGTCTCTGACCACTCAACTGGGACTGAGGCTGGCGTATGTAAGGTGAGTGATGTGGGGAGGTGGGTTGGGACCCCAGGATGATTGAAACAGATTTTTTTTTTCTCAAAGACTCACCTAGGATTCTTGCCCTATATCCACGCCCAGAGCACACAGCCTGAGGTTAATAAGCGCTGTGTGTTAACAGCCTACAGGAGACAACCCTGAGTGAAACATCACCCAGATGGAGTTAATACTTTTTGCCTGAGGTGTCCCAGGAAATCTCTGGGGTGGAGAGGCTCACAGATCTCCTCCATCCTTACCTGTGGCCTGACTGCACATCTTCCAGCTTCTGCCTTCCTGTGTTGGGAGCTCACACCTTCATCTTGGTGCGATTTGGGTGAAGAATCCTCTTTCTTCAGGGGAGAATGGGTGGCACTCAAACCTGCTGTATATAAGTACCATTGCAAGCTGAGAGGGAGGGGGCAGCAGAAGCCAAGTAGAGCCGTTTGTGCTGATACTCGTGGCTGCAGGCGCAGGAGCCGTCTGACTTCTCACTGCAAACGGAAGGGGTGCACGGAGCTGTGTGGCCGGCGGGGAGGCTCCCCTGTCTCCCCCAGATACTAAGGGGCCCTTGTACAGTGGCTAAGAACAAAGTGACAAAGCCCCCTGTCGGATAAGTGAAAGGCAAATGCTGCAGACACACCTTAGCTTCCACGAGGAACACGTTAAATGCCTTCTCGCTGATGCTATACAGAGGGTGATGCAGTTAAAAATAAATTGACCCTCTGTTCTCCTGGCCTGACTCAGTGCTGGCCCTTGGCACTTAGTTGCTTGGGTTGCCTCCTAAAGAAGAAACAGACCTCGAGTGCTAAGCAGGGGTGACCAGCCCTTGCCAGAGGTGCTTGTGGCATCTGCTGTGTACTGGGTCTCACTGGCCCAGGGCTCCAGGGGGCTGCCTGGGCCTCCCCGGCTCCCTGGAAGTCTCAGTGGTACAGCAGGGGTCCTCATCTCCACCGGACCTGGGCTGGGTCAGGAGCCAGAGGGGACCAGCTGGGGACTTGGTTTGACCTCCCAAGGGTGAACTTTGACCCTCCATGACCCTCACCCCAATCCCAGAATGCTACCCCCATCCACAAACATCATTTCATGCTGGCCCTTGGGGGGCCAGGTTGAGATCACCTGTTTTTCTCCACTTCCCACCCCTTCCTCCCCAAATCTTCATCAAGGCACACCAGTGATACTCAGAACTCCACTCTCTGTGGATGCAGTGAACCTGCAGGAGGCAAAAGCCCTTCCCAGCGGCACCTCTATGTCCTCTGTCTGATGGGAAGGAAATCCAAGTGTCCGCAGTCCCAGGGGACTAGAGCTGGGTTAGCCAAGTTCTAGTTGGCAGAGCAGAAGGTGCTCAGCGACACGAGCACCTATCTTGTATCTAGCATCTTCCTTTCCCTTGATTCTTTTTCTGCGGGGTCATCTTTTCTGATTTCTGAACTGAGTGACTTTCTGAGGCTACAGCTGGGTATGAGTTCACAGGTACCATGAAAACAATGCGTGACTTGGGAAAATCATTTCTTTTAATGACAGAGAAAGCACACCAAACTATAACAGAAGCCCATCAGGAGTTGCCACTGTACATAATCAATGCCCAAAGGCCCTGAGCTAGCATCAGACATTCACAGGGAAGTCAGTCGCGGTAGGGAACATCCACGCAGCATCTCTGAGGACAGGAGGAGGTGAGAGACAGCGGAGACTCAGGACATGCTGTGTATCTGTAACTTGGATTCCTCTGTAGACAGTTTGTTTTTTCCCCCTTCCTCACTGGATGGTAGGGGCTGGGGAGGTTTGCAAATGACCAAGTAGAACAGAAGCCTTGTATCAGCATCAGAGAAGAGCCAATACTGCAGACTGATGTGGCCCGCGTATGCCATGGGTCATACCCAAGAAACAGGACTTGACCTTGGTCCTCTGAACAACGGCTCAGGGGGCTAGGACAACGTTTGAACAGCAGCTCCTTTAGACTCTAGGGTCTGTGCACAAGTTCCCAAAGGCATGCTAGGAAATATGTTTATCAACAAAACTTTGCCATCCCAAAGGGTAAGAGTCATTCTCCTAGTTTTTAACCGCATGTTATCTAGGTTTCAAATGAAAGGACAAGAAAGAAAAGGCAGCAACTCAGAGATTGTTTGGAATATTGTGGCACTTCACTAATCTCTTCTGCTTACAATATATGGCAGAGCAAACGGAACCCTGTCAATATAAACTTTCATTATAGATAACCTATACTGTACACTCTTGGAATACAGAGAGAATCCATCCTATCATACATATTTCATCTTTAAAAATAATCTAACATAGTCATATTCTCTGGCTAGTAACAAACTATTAACATCTTCTGAGAATACAGAGAGAACTCTGGGATTAATAGTAAATTCTCCAACGTGCCCCACCCCCATCCCCTATGCAGCATCATCTATGAACACACTTCTGCAACAGCATCTCAGGGACATTCGTAACTATGGAAGGAAATGGATATGTTAGTTTCACCAAATGGACTTTTAGCAAGAAGTGATGGGACATTTTTACCTTGGCAAAAATGAAGCACAAACGTAACAATTTACAGGTTCGGGCCCATGCAAATGCATGTGTGATTTTTTTTTTAATGTGGGGGGATTTTATTCTCACCCCGAAACCACAATCAGCATGCAGGTTTTTTTTTCAACTACTGAGTTAGAGATAATTATTGGCAGTGCACCTCTTTTGTGTAACCATGATCCCTAAGGCAAGGTTATTATTTCACCTTGTGTAGAATATCAGCAATATCTGTCAGATGCATGTTTATACAGTACAGACCTGCTACTTACTGTTTTTGTCTTCAAAAAAGAAAAGAAATCTCAAAACACAGATCCCTAGACACAATTCAGTTGAAAATGAACTGTTAAGCTTTTAGAAATATATTTTAAACTACAAGGCTGCCCTGTTTTGGGGGTTTTTATATGAACATTTTAAAAAGTTCCCACCCCTAAAAATTTGTCTTCGTTATTGGTAACAGTCTCACCAATTTGCTATCCTGTTGACTCATGGAACTGCAGCTACTAAGGTCCTTAATGTGTAATAAATATAATGCTATTCAGGGTCAGTATGGTGAAGTTCTCCAACTGTCCACCTGGAACCTGAATGACCTTTAGTTCTCAGTCCGCCCACTGGACAGAGGTCCTTGGCAAGGGGTGTTCAACTGCCCCGGGGGGCTTTCAGATGAGGTCAGCGTGGCTGCCCCATGGTCTTCTACCTCTGGATCCAGGTGCACTCTGATCTGTAGGCCAGTGGCATGTCCTTTCTTTCTCAACAAGAGCTCACGGGAGCTGCATTTGCTTTGTCAAGAGCAGCTGAGGCAGTTGAGGCGAGCTTGGTTCAGCCAAACGCAGACGCCAGGGGAGGCGCGTAGGTCCACGGGGAGCCAACGTAGCAGCCCGACTGGCAAGTCCCCGGGAACACGCCTGGACTGGGCGCCTCATACAACGGAGCCTTTGGAAGATGACAAGTGGATTGACTGAATCCTGATGGCCAACGTCCTCTGTAAGTCCTGCAGCACATCCTGGCCCGTGCCCTCACCATTTTTGTCATATAGGAGCTGCTTGAAGGCCTCATTTTCGATAAGGACCATCATGTTTTTGAGAAAGTAGCCTTCGCAATATGCTGAGAGCTCTGTGACTCCAAGAAACTGTGGAGAGTGGAGAGGAAGCACAAGATGGTTATGTTTCCGAAAGCACCTGTTTTCATCTACACTCTGGTGAGGACCTACTAAGGTTGCTTGACGGCAACAGTGGCCCTGGCTCTGCGTCCTTGCTGTATTCACACCCAGTGGACGCGACCTGGCAGCTCCTCCCATCGGAGGGCTGAGTTCACTTCTCCAGGCCTTGGCCTTGTGAGTTGCTCTGGCTAAGAGGATGCAGCTATGTGAGAGGTGCCAGTTTGAAGCTGGCTTCATGTGGCTGTGTGTGCTTCCCCAAGCCCTCTCCCTTCTGCAGACACGGTTCTCATCTCTTTACATGATGCATGCAGGCTAAGTTGCTTCAGTTGTGTCCGATTCTCTGCGACCCCATGGGCTGTAGCCCTCCAGGCTCCCTGTCCATGGGATTCTCCAGGCAAGAGTACTGCAGTGGGTTGCCATACCCTCCTCCAGGGGATCATTCTGACCTAGGGATCGTACTCGCATCTCTGACATCTCCTGTATTGGCAGGCAGGTTCTTTACCACTAGCGCCACCTGGGAAGCCCCCATAGAAGCTGCTAAATGTCTCACCATGCAGAGGACAGACTCCTCGGCAGACAATTATGTAGCTCACGTTATTAGTCAGTGCTAACGCTGAGAAACTGATGGAGAGACATAGTTCCCGACAGATTAAACCAATACAGCAGGGCTGACATCAACCTGCCTCACGTTGCAACCCCAAGCAGAAGACTTGGCAGACAGTAGATGCAGTACGGATTTGTTGAATGTGTGAATGAGCAGTTCACTCTCAGAGTTACAATACCAGCAGCAAACATGTATTGACAGCATCGTGCTAGACACTTCATGTGCATCACCTCATTTAATCTTCAAATTTCCCTGAGGCAGGTACTATTACCACCTCTGATTTACAGATGAGGAAACTGGGACAAGGGAGTAGCTGACAAAAATTCATACAACATGTCAAAGGCAGAACCAGGAGGTGAACCCTGCAACCCAAGTCCTGAAGGCTGTGTGTTTAACCATTAGGATACACTGCCTCTAGCCTGATCCCATTAAATCTCGGAAACATGCTTGCTGGAGGAATTCATGTTTGAGATGAAGAAACAAATGTGGGTATGAGGGCTGGCTGTCTGTATTCAGGCCTTTTCTTTGGTTTTCAAAGCTGGCAAGTTTCTCTCTTGCAATGAGCTGCATGCTCAGAAGTTAGTTAAGTGCTCCCTGAGATGATATCCTGCTGCTTTATTTAGATGCTGAATTATCTAAATTATCTGAATGTGGAATTCATTGTTCTGAACTCCCTAATATTCTGTCCCTTAAGCCATAGATGCACTTGCAGCTGCTCGCTGTGGATGGTGGAATGATAATGAGGCAGTGCCAACTGGGCAAAGGAGGAATGAGTGGGAGACTTGGATTCAAATCGGGGTGCCCCCATTCTTCTGAATTTGTGACCAAGGCTGCTTTATTTGGCTTCTGGCTTTAGATTCCTCATTTTCAAACTGGAAATTATGTCCTCACATCATTAACCTGTTGGGGGTACTGAGTGGAACATAACTGATGGTGGGACTCTGTCATCTGTCACACTTAGGGGAGGCAGGATAGGAAGTGGGGGTGGGAGGGGGCTCTGGAATTTATTCCAGACTGTGCCGATGGGCGAGTTATTGAATCTCTGTGTCTCAGTATTCCTATCTCTAAAATGGGGGCAAATAATAATACCCATCTAATAAGCTGTTGCTGGCCTTAGGTGAGGTAATACATGGCATGTTCGGAACAGTGACTGTTTGCAGTCAGCATCAGCACTCACTCAGTATTAGCTGTCATGCTAAATGTACACTATTTATAATTATTACTCTCATCTCACTCATTTATATCCAGGGACCCACATGGACAAAGTAGGTGGCTAGGTTAGGATAAGGGGAATTGGCTGTATCTACGGAACCTAGTTCAGCTAACTGGTCCATAGTAGGACCAAGCCTGTAACCTTGAACTCACTGACCCCATGTGATAATTCAGTGAGCCAAAGACCTGTCTTCATAAAAATCATATGCAACTTTGGGCAGTTCAAATCACTTCTCTGGGCCTTAGTTTCCTAAGCCACAAAATGAGGGGGCTTAGACTAGTGAGTACCATGCTCTGAGTATTTAAGACGTGGACATACCAGCTTATTCTGAGAGGCTTAGGGAGCTTGTCGAGGTTTATCAAGTGAGTAGGTTTGTTATTACCCAAATGTTACACAGATGCATAGTATGCTGGAGCTGGAAGAGTTCTAAGGAATGTTTTAATTCTTTCAAGATGAATCCAAAAAAAAAAAAAAAAGATGAATCCAGTTTTTTGAGTTACAGAGAAAAGGCCTCATTGTACATGTGGGGAAACTGTGGCTCAGAGTTGTCTATCTCTGATTCTGGGGACACAGAGAGCCCCTTTCTCTTACCACTCCTCGCCACTTGCTTTGTATAGGTGCGTTTCTTATTGTAAGCTAGTGTAATTAGAGAATAATAAGTACTTAAGTTTACACATGGTGATATTTACTGAATGGTGACTATACATCATATGCTTGCCTACTTTTACATATCTAATTACAGACAGAACAGGGACTGGAACTCTCACCGTCTAGACCAACAGTTGACAAACTACAGGCCTGGGTGCCAAATGTGGCCTGGATGTGAGAGTTAGACTGTGAAGAAGGCTGAGCGCCGAAGAACTGATGCTTTTGAACTGTGGTGTTGGAGAAGACTCTTGAGAGTCCCTTGGACAGCAAGGAGATCAAACCAGTCCATCCTAAAGGAGATCAGTCCTGGGTGTTCATTGGAAGGATTGATGTTGAAGCTGAAACTCCAATACTTTGGCCACCTCATGCGAAGAGCTGACTCATTGGAAAAGACCCTGATGCTGGGAGGGATTGGGGGCAGGAGGAGAAGGGGACGACAGAGGAAGAGATGGCTGGATGGCATCACTGACTCGATGGGCATGATATGAGTAAACTCCGGGAGCTGGTGATGGACACGGAGGCCTGGCGTGCTGTGATTCATGGGGTCGCAAAGAGTCAGACACGACTGAGCGACTGAACTGAACTGAGCCTGGTTTTATAAATAAAGTTTTATTAGGACACAGCCCACACCCACTCATTTGCATATTGTCTCTGGCTGCTTTTGTACTGCAAAGCAGAGCTGAGGAGGATCAAAGTGACCACATAGCCTCCATGAAAATATTTACCTGGATTGTCATAGAAGAAGTTTGCTGACCCCTGTCCTAGGCAAAAAGTTTTTCAAGTGCAGAGACCATGTCTTACCAGATGTGTATTACACATCTGAATACACACATTAAAGTGTGTATACAATTCCTGGTAAATAGTGGGCACACAATAAATACTAGGGAACGAATCCCTTGGTTTCCAAACCCATGTTCTTCTCATCACAGTGCCCCACTGAGTTTACTGCCTTAGCTTAGATTCAATTTGATGAACAGGCTTGTTCTTTTTCTCAAGCTGAAAGACACCCTGAAAGAGCCATCAGAGGTTCCAAAGCCTCTTCTTCATGACTGAATAGTTTGGGACAGCTTTGCTAGGAAACAAAGATGATGAAGCCATGCATTTATGGGCTGAACTTCTCTTCTGGATAAAACTTCACAGATGTCGCTAATGGTTAGGTGCAGAACAGAAGTAATGCTGCCAAGAACTCGCTGATATTTGAAACATGGTTATTAGTGCCTAAATGCCTGCATTTCCGAGGGTTCCAAACCGAGTGTTGGTTTCTTTCTTTTCTGGCTCTTTTGCTAACCCAGCCTCAGTCTGCAGCACAATCTGCCAGTAACAGAATCCACATGGCAGGTGACTGTTAATGCTGCAGGGCACATAGAGGGCGCGTGGGGTTGGGGCTGGCACTGCCCTGGCCTCCATGCAAGTATCATGAAGGGCAGGTGTTGACCTTGGAAATGTCCCAGGATGAGGCTGAGAGGGCAGGCAGAGGCTGGCCGGCTGCAGAAGGCCAAACTCTGGCTGCAGAAGGCAGCTCTTGGCCACAGGTGCTGTAAGCCTGTAGCACAAACGCATCCCCAGTCCAGGCTCACCTTGCGTTGGCTGTGTTATTAAATAGCAAGAGAGCTACAGAAGCTGCCTGCCAAGGAGGCCAAAGTGATTAAAATGGGACTGTGGTGTGCAGGCCTTGCTGCATTCCCAAGGAGATAGACCACGGCAAAGCTACTGTGGATGTGGGGCTCACAGGGCAATTTGGGTATCCGTGGCCAGAGGAGGGGGCAGAGGAAGGTGAAACTAATCAGGCCCTCTTCCTGAGTAAACAGTTTTCTCTGGACGCACTTTCTGCAAAGTAACCAGTTTAAGATAAAAAAAATTTTTGTGTGTGTCCCAAGAAACCAAGTTTTGGTAAAAGTCTCATTTAACCAAAACACCCACAGTGAGTGGGGAGCAAGTAGCCTCCCTGTATCTTTTGATTTACTGATGATCCATCAGAAAATCTTCTGAGTATCAAGAATGATCACAAATATTTCAAACAGGTATTAGGCCAGACTGTAAACACAAGGAAGAACCTGTGCTTTGAAGTGACGTTTACCCTTCTGGGCATATACACCCAAAGAACTGAAAGCAGAGACGACAATGGATATTTGCACACCCCTGTTCACAGCAACATAATTTACAGTAGCCAAGAGGTGGGAGCAACCCAAGTGACCATGGATGAACTCATGAAATATGCTACATACATACAATGGAATATACTCAGCCTTGAAATGAAATTCTGACACATGCTACAACATGGATGAACCTTAAAGACATTGTGCTAAATGAAAGAAGGCAGCCACAAAAATAAACCAAACAAATACTGTATGATTTCACTTATATGAGGTACCTGGAGCAGTAGAATTCAGAGACAGAGGGTAGGATGATGGTTGCCAGGGGCCATGGAGGAGGGGGGAATGGGGAGCTTGTATTTAATGGGTATAGTTTCAGTTTAGAAAGATGAAAAGTTCTGGGGACGGATAGTGACGATGGTTGTACAACAATGGGAATGTGCTTAATGCCACTGATGCATACACTTAGAAATGGTAAGTGTCATGGTAAATGGTAAGTTTCACATTGCATATATTTTACCACAGTGGAAAAAAAATCTCAGTCATAGCTGTGTGACCTTAAGCAAGTTACTTCACTTCTCTGTGCCTCTGCTTCCTTATTATAACATGGACTAATGAAAGGATTGTGGTGAGGATTAAAAAAGGTAATGCAACAGGGCTTTAAGCACAGGGGCCTGCACATGAAAAGGGCTTAGAGAATGTTGACTTAAGACAGAAAATAATATCTCAACCACGACTTTTTTTTTTTTTTAACAACAAGCAGAAAAACCACATCAGTGGTTCCTCTACAGACTGTGGATGTGGGAGGCATATGTGCTGAGCTCCAGTTCTATCAAAGAGGAATACTTCGTTTTAAATGAACTCCTAATCTTAATTCATCTCATTGTTTCTTTCTAGCAGATGCTAATCCCCGTGTCCTGAGCACATGAACCAAAATGAAGTGGTACCTGGACATATGATTTTAATCTCCACTTGTGAAATGAATTGGATGAAATTGGTGGTTCACTGATTTTACTCCAAAAACTGGAGTGAGGACTGGTCTTAGGGCTGAAATCACAACAGTCACCCTAGGAGCCTGTTAAAAATATAGATTGCTGGACTCCCCAGCAGAGATCTGGGGTGACAGGCCAAACAGAGGAATATTCCAAATGTCTCCCCAGGTGTTGGGTCCACCTGACTAGGAGGGCTCCTTGGACTTCTTTAGCACTGACAATCTGTTCTCAACCTTGGCACATCTGAGAGTCACCCAGGAAGTTATGAAAAAAATCTCTCTTTCCCAGGTTCCACCCCCAGAGACTGATGAATTGGTCTGTGAGAGGTCCCAGGCATGGGGATTTTAAGTGAGTGCCCAGGTGATTCTTCCATGCAGCCAGTGTTGGGAACCTCAGTTCCAGAATAACGGTTCTCCCCCATGAACAACTCCGGAATCACAGGGAGGGCTCGCGAAGCTGCACACAACCAGGCCTCACCCCCCAGTTTCTGACTCAGTAGGTCTGAGTGGGGCCTCTAATGTGCATTTCTGACAAGCTCCCAAATGATGCTGGTGCTGCTGGATTGGAGACCCCTTGGAGAACCACTGTTCCAGAACCTTGCTGCTTAAGTGTGTGGCCTGTAGCCTAGACCAGGTGCAGAGGTTTCACCTGAGAGCTTGTTAGAAATGCAGAACCAGAGCCCAGCCTTGGCCCGCTGAAGCAGAGCCTGCAATGTGATTCATGCACATGCTGGAGTTTGAGGATGACTACGCTTTTAAAACTTCTGGCTTTCTGCTTCCACTGTATTCTGGAGGGGCGGAAGAAGGGAAAGACATCTCTCCTAAAGCAGGAAGCAGACCTTAGAAGAATGAGGTCAGCTCCGCCTGGATGCACAGACCTAGCATCCACCCTCTGCCCAGACTCACAGCATCTGCAGAGAAAGCCTCTCCCACAAAAGTGCACGGGGCATGCTTGGACAACGAGAATGGGATTGATTACCTTGGCATGGTTGTAAATATCCACACAGTTGTCGGTATTGATGCTTTTTGCACAGATAATCTCACAGTGTCGCTGCAAAGCCTCCAGCTGGAAAAATTTAGCGGCAGACAGGAGCTAAAAAGCATAAAAAAAGCCTGTTAGAGGTTGGGAGGTGGAAGGAAAGCAACGACTGTGGTGAGAAAACCCTTCATCTCCTACAGTGGAACCCAAGGTGCAGACACTGAGCATAAAGTGTTGATACATCACTTTAAAGCACAAAGGTTACACAGGTGGACTAGGACCCCGCGACAGAACTCGACTGTGGGGGAATATGGCAGAGGGGAGGCGCGGGGTCAAAGTGAATCAGATTTCCATCTATTGCCGGAGGAAGTCAAGCAAAGATGCTTAAAATTGTTACGTCCAGAAATAAGGGTCAACGTTTTTATTTGTGTGTGTGTGTGTGTGTGTGCTCAGTCGTGTCAGACTCTTTGTGACCCCATGGACTGTAGCCCACCAGGCTCCTCTGTCCATGTAATTTTCTAGGCAAGAATACTGGAGCCAGTTACCATTTCTTCTTCTAGGGGATCCTCCTGACCCAGGGATTCAATCTGTGTTTCTTGCACCTCCTGCATCGGCAGGCAGATTCTTTACCACTGAGCCACCGGGGAAGCCTGGAAGCATGAACGCTCTTAGCAGGATGGATATCGAGGTGGCTCACTTCCTCCGTTCATTCAGGTCTCAACACAGATATCACCTCAGGTCTCCTTGCTCCATCACTGTCTGCCCCCCTTAACCTGTCTTAGTCTTCTTCACAGCCCTTCTCACACCAGACATGATGTCATGCCCATCACCTTTCCCAGAGGCTGGGAAGGCAGGGATCTCTGCCCTTCTGCATCACAGTTATATCCCAGCCCTGAGCACGGCACCTAGCCTCGGAAGATGCTGAACAGAAGAAGGGGAAGAAAAGGACTGAAGCAAGAGTTCAAAGGGATTGCCTTTGGGGAAAGGACTGAGGGATGGAAGGGAGATGGCTGGATGAGGGGCTTTTTAAGTATTATAAAGCTCTTCTGTATTATTTACATGATTGAAATATATGTTCATTATTTTAATTTGAAAATAGCTTTTAAAAAGGTTTATAAAAGAATCTGAGTCCTCAGAGTGCAGTCTAAGTTCTGAGGCTGTGATTTGTCAGAGGAGTGGTCCAGAGAGACAAGAGAGGAACTTCGGGGGGCGGGGAGTGACCATGGAAGGTTTCACAGAATAAGAACAAAGGGATAAAGGCTCCACAGTGAACACACGCCAGGCACTGTGACACACGACAGGCACTGTGTAAGCATCTTAGAAACTCTTAAGATCTTCAAAACCCAGTGGGGTAGATACTGTCATCCCCATTCTGTAAGTATGAAAGCTGAGGATCAGAGAGGTTAAATGACTGGTCCAAGATCACAGAAGGGGCGGAGCCTGGATTTGAAGCCAGTCTGGCCCAGAGTCCACGTCTGAACCGCCATGAGGGGTCACTTCTTGAACAACTCCTCATGCTTTAACATCTCTCATCAGGCCCCCCGGACTTCCAGCACCTGAATGGGGTCCCGGCTCTTTCTCTCAGGACTAGCAGAGCGACTTTGGCTTCTGATTTAAAGCTACCCTGGTGGTTCAGCTGGTAAAGAACCTACCTGCAGTGCAGGAGACCTGGGTTCATTGCAGGAGACCTGGGTTCAATCCCTGGGTCGGGAAGATCCCTTGGAGAAGGGAATGGCTACCCACTCCAGTATTCTGGACTGGAGAATTCCATGGACTGTACAGTTCGTGGGGTCGCAAAGAGTTGGACACGACTGAGTGACTTTCACTCACTTAAAGCTACCACCTCTAACACAAGCGCCCCACTCCTAGGAAGGAGCAGAAACAAGGCCGGAGGAGCAAGGAGGGGGAGAACAGAGTTACGAGAGGTGGACAGGAGATGGGGAGAGCCAGGGAGCTGCTGAGTGAAGCCGGGAGGGCTTGTGATTGCCTCTTAGCTTTTGCCTCAATGGACACGCTGAGATTTGAGGAAAGCTTTCAGATGAAATGTTTTTCCTACAAATGACAAGGGAGAGATTGTCAAGGACAGTTTCTGATGATGCTATTTGAGCCCCAGCTGTGCCTGGAACTAGCGGTAGCCTCAGACTCTTCAGTAGATTTCCTTTCCTCCACCCCCAGAGCCAGATAAAATTAGGCTTCACTCAGCTGCTACTGAAAGAGCTCGGACTAGCGCACCCAGCACCCCAGCCTTCCAGGGAGGGGCTCTGGGAAGAAGTCCTTGAGAGATCTGAAGGAGGCAGGCAGGACCCCCAAGCCTGCATCCAAACGCAAACCAGACACAGGCTGCCCCCAGACACCACCCACGTGAGCCACCCACTCAGGACCACGGCGGGCTCCTCACCTCCATTATCTCGTTGTTTTTAATGAGAAGCGACTCTGGGCCACCGTAGTAGAGATACTGCATAACCAGCTGGAAGACAGAACACGGTGAGCACAGGCCCACGGCACACAGACACAGTCATCTTACCGCCACCCAGTCAAAGCCTCAGAGTGGCTCTGAGTCCCTGCGTGACACCCGTGCTCAGGGGTGGCCATTCCCCCTGGATTGCGGCCTTTCAGGAAGAAGTTCCATTGACAAGTTTTATAGGCTGGATATGTTTTCTTACACCATGCTGTAATCTGTCGCCCTGTGGCTCACCCTCAGGGCTGAGTTAAACAACTCTGAGCTCTGCCCCCCAGGACAGTTTCCCCCCATCTATGGGTGACAATCATGGGTTGTCTTTTCACCTCCAACCCCATTGAGCTGCCCAGAACTGCAGCACACGTGGCATGACTTAAAGACCCTGAACCAGCCGCAGCTCTCCTGGGAACACAACCCAGTTTGGCCGTAAACCTCTGGTTTCAGCTTCAGAGGGTGACTCTGGGCCACCACAAGGCCACCGTCTCCTTATTATATCTCGATAAGGGCCAAGATGAAGTTATTAAAGGTCCAGGGTCTCAATGTTTTATTGATGCTGTGAACTGCCCAAGCCAGGCTTCGTACGCATGACTGGATGGTGTGTAAAGTCCCAGAGCTTTGCAAACTGGTGTCTCGTAGGCAGAATCAAGCCCAAGGCTGTGATAGTATTGGCTGTTACCACCTCCCATGAAGCTGAGTGTTAAAACATTAGGTGGCGTGTATCCTCCCGAGTTGGCCATAGTCTCCACCATTCTCTAATGTTTTCTGCCTGCCTAGATGACACATTGACTTTAGCTGCCTGACCTTAAGCAGCTGTGTTGGAAAAACCTGTAGATTGTTTACATCCCATCTCTGGATGTCTGTAAAATGAGGTGACTGGACCAGACTCTGTGGTCCCTTCTGGCTCTGACGGTCTGACCAATTCAAGACAGTGGCTAAGAGCAAGGTCCTGGAGTTGAACTGCTTCGGTTTCTGACATGGCTCTGCCACGTAAAAGCTGTGAGACCTGAATTAAGTTAGGCTCTCTATGCCTCAGTTTCATCATCTGTAAAGTGGGGATAATATTACCTACCTCATGGGGTTGTGATGAGAATTAAACAAGTTAATACATGTAAGAGGCCTAACAGAGATCTGGCAGATGCATCGCAAGAACTCAGTAAATGTTAGCTTTTTAATTTTCTCTGAGGGTGAAAAATCTTTTTCTAGTGTGAATGACCTTCCATTTTCTTACTCAGGTCATTCAACATCATTTGTGACTGCTTTCAATCTACTTTTTGCAAGTGGGTTTAAAGTAATTGCTTTTAATGTAACTCAATAATAAAAACCAAACAACCCAACCAAAACCCCGGCAGAAGACCTAAATAAACATGTCTTCAAAGAAAACATACACATGGTCAATAGGCATATGAAAAGATGCTCAGCAAGGGCAATTATTAGATAAATGCAAATCAAAACTATAACAAACTTCTACCTCACACAGGCCAGAATGGCCACTGTTAAAAAATCTACAAATAATACATGCTGGAAAGGGTGTGGAGAAAAGGGAATGCTCCTACACTGTCGGTAGAAATGTAAATGGGTGCAGCCACTGTGGAAAACAGTATGGAGATTCCTTAAAAAAATCTAAAAATAGTCTTGCTATGTGATCCAGCAATCCTAAATCCTGGGCATGTATCCAGACAAAACTGTAATTTGAAATGATATATGCACCCCAATGTTCATAGCAATACGTTTACAATAGCTAAGACATAAAAACAACCTAAATGTCCACTGACAGATGAATGGATAAAGAAGATGGGTGTGTATCTATATCTATACATGAATACAGATATATATATACACAATGGAATATTAGTCATAAAAAAAGACTGAAATGATGCCATTTGAAGCAACGTGGATGGACCTAGAGATCATCATTCTAAGTGAAGTAAATCAGAAAGAAAAAGACCATATGATGTCACCTATATGTGGAATCTAAAAATGCTTTGATTTAAAGTACAGAGTTCGGACTTTCCTGGTGGTACAGTGGTTAAAAACCTGCCTGCCAATGCAGGGGACATGGGTTTGATCCCTGGGCCAGGGGGATTCCACATGTCCTGGAGCAACTAAGCCTGTGAGCCACAACTATGAGCCCATGTGACGCAACTACTTAAGTCCATATGCCTAGAGCCTATGCCCTGCAACAAGAGGAGCCACTGCAATGAGAAGCCGGCGCACCACAGCTAGAAAGTAGCCCCTGCTCGTCTCAACTAGAGAAAGCCTGTGCACAACGGTGAAGACCCAGTGCCACAAAAAACAAAGTATCCTGTTCAGTGGTTTTTAGGTATCCATAATGTACAACCACCACCATAATCTAATTTTATTTTACTTTATTTTGGCTGCATCACTTGGCATGCAGAATCTTAGTTCCCATACCAGGGATCCAACCTGTGCCCCCTGCAGTGGCAGTGTGGTCTTAACCACTGGACTGCCAGGGAAGTCCTACCACAATCTAATTTTAGAACATTTTCAACCCCCCCGCCCCCACCCCCGGAGAAACCTCGTGCCTGTTAGCAGTCTCTCCCATTTCCTCTTTGGGTCAGTCATGACATCTACTATGATTTGCCTGTTCTGGACATTTCATATACAAAAAATTGTACAACACATGTTCTTTTGCATCTAGCTTTGTTCACTTAGTGTGGTATTTTCAAGGTCACATGTATCACAGTCTGTCACTTCTTTTTCACTTCTCAACAACATCCCGTTGTATGAATATACTACAGTTTGTGTATCCATCCATCAATTGATGGACATGTGGGTTGTTTTCATTTTTCATTGTTGCTGAAATGGATGCTGTGGCTTTGGATCAATTTACTTTTTCAGATCTCACCTACCACTCTGCCCTTCTCATCTCAATTGTTGTTGTTCAGTCACTAAGTTGTGTCCGACTCTTTGCAAGCCCATGGACTGAAGCACACCAGGCTTCCCTGACCTTCACTATTTTCCGCAGTTTGCTCAAACTCATGTCCATTGATTCAGTGATGCCATCCAACCATCTCACCCTCTGTTGCCCCCTTCTCCTCCTGCCCTCTATCTTTCCCAGCATCAGGGTCTTTTCCAATGAGTCAGCTCTTTGCATCAGGGGGCCAAAGTATTGGAGCTTCAGCTTGAGTAGCAGTCCTTCCAGTGAGTATTCAGGGTTGATTTCCTTTAGGATTGACTGGTTTGGTCTCCTACTCCCAACCACTTGCCTTTATTAGAACCTACTACCGTCTCTTTCACTCTGCTTTTGCCCATGCTGTTCCCTCTGCTTGTATGCCCTTCCCTTCTTCTCCACCTGTTGATCTCTGGCCCTTCTTTCAGGATCCAGCTCAGCAGTCACCTCTGTGAAGCCTCCGCAGACCTGCTCAGCTCTCTGAGCTGCCTCCCACCCTGTGCTGGGCGGCATACCACCCACGACTGCAGTGTTATTTCCTGTTGGGGTCTGAGGGCACAGAGTGGGTCTTACCCACCTCTGCATCCCCAGTGCCTGCCAGCGGCAAGTACACTTTAACCAGAAACATAATTCCTCCCCTTCCTCTTTGTGTCTGAGTCTCCCACTGGCCAACTGCCTATGGCAGAGTGGGGCTTTAGTGTTGATGATTGAGGCTTTGTGAAATGATAACGTAACACTGTTTACTCTTCCCCTGGACCCAGACAGGTCATAAGCATCTAATCTTTGGCAAATGTTGAGACATTGGCTTTATTAAAATCCATTTATTCCCCAAGGACCTCTCTTTTATAAAGGCCAAATCAATAATAGTGATGGTAAGAGCCATAATAATAATAACTTTCCTGAAAACAGGGTCTCTCCAGTTACAAAGCACTTCTCCAGCATGCTATCTCATTTCCTCAAGGTTGTGCTGTTGACTTGAAATGTTGCTTTCAGGAGCAGGCATGGAGCCCCATTAACCATGGGGCTAATGGAATTAAATTGGGCTGTGCTGTGCCACCTTCAGACTCAGCCAGCACGAGCCTTTTCTGCAAGGGAGTGAAACGGACCCTGATTAGGCCAAGGGGTCTGTTTATGGAGTTGTTTTTCTTGGCAGCTGTCAACCTGCATGAAGCAGGATATAAACGGCGTCCACAGCCTGATGGAGGCCCTGCTCCCAGATGCAGCCTCAGCTGCAAGGGGCTCTTGCCCGCGCGTGATGTTAAAACAGTCTTGCATGGAGGAAACTCAAAGCCGTCTCATTTACTAAAATTCTTCTGTTCAGCATGGAAGGGAAGTGAGCTGGCCCCTGGGAGCCTCCTTCTGGGTCAGATTCAGCCTGACTTGGCCTATTTTGAGCCACAAATGAGGCTTTTCTTCTTTTATGGGGAAGGGGCAGGCACGTGGAGAATTCCCCGGGGTCTGCTCAATCTTCTCTGCCCATTACAGTAACTCATGGCTAACGTGGCTGGGAAGCCTTCCCTGGCCAAAAGTAAACAGAGGCGTTCGATTCCCCTGGGGCCGGGCCTTCCTGCACACGTCTCTCATTCAGCTGGCCCCCAGCATCTATTGAGTGCCTGCCACGAGTCAGGTTCTGATGACAAGAACCCCTCCTTAGTCCTGGGCTTGATGGCATAAGTGTCCCCTTCATGGGCACTCAGAGCTGGAGGGGGGTTCACGGTTTTCAGCACTGGGCTCATGCCCCAAACACTAAGGGCCTTTCCTTGGGGCTGGGTGATTCTTAGGGAGGACCCAAGGCCCCATAGCAGGGAGGCAGGTAAGAGATCAGGTCTGGGAGTCAGCCAGGCCTGGGTCTGAAGCTAAGCCTGGCCACTTCCTCTACCTGCCTGTCCGGGGGGAGAAGAGCAACCTGGAGTGGGAGCTGGGAGGCCTGACCTGATTAGATGACATGGGGCAGGGTTCTCAGAGTGGGTCCCTGGACCACAAGTATCAGCATCACCTATGTTCTCGTAAGAAACATGAATTCTTGGGCTCCATCCCAGGCCTACAGAATCAGGAACGCTGGGGGTGGGGCTCAGGAATCTGCATTTCAGCAAGTTTCGTGGCTAAACAGCAACTCTCTTCACCCCCACTGCTTCCCCTGGAGATTCTGAGGCTTCCGAAAGTTCGAGAAACTTAGAGTCCTGGTTTTCCACCTCGGCTGCACATGACTCTGGATGATGGCAGAGGGTGGAGACTTAAAAGATGCTGATGCCTGAGCTGCAGCCCAGATCCTGAACAACAGCCGGGACACTGGGAATCGTCAAAGCTCCTCAAATGATTCCACTGCACTGAGGCTGAGCACTGCTGGTTTTGAGCCACAAGAAACAGAGCTTCTAGTATTATTGTTCCTCTCTGCTTTCAAACTGTGGTACTGAAGAAGAGTCGTCCCTTGGACTGCAAGGAAATCAAGCCAGTCAATCCTAAAGGAAATTAATCCTTAATCTTTATCAGAAGGACTGATGCTGAAGCTGAAGCTCCAATACTTTGGCCACCTGATGTGAAGAGCCAACTCATTAGAAATCAGACCCTGACGCTAGGAGAGATTGCAGGCAGGAGGAGAGGGGGACAATAGAGGATGAGATGGTTGAATGGCATCACTGACTCAACGGACATGAGTTTGAGCAAGCTCCAGAAGATAGTGAAGGACAGGGAAACCTGGCGTGCTGCAGTCCAGGCATCACAGTTGGACACGACTGAGCGACTGAACAACAAAGACCGGACTGGCTTCAAATAATGGCTCTCTCATTGACTAGCACCAGGTTCTCTGGACCTCAGTCCCTGACCTCTAAACGTGGCACGATTTGTCCAGATAGCTACATGCAAGCAAAGGCCAGTGCCTCATTCATAGCTGGAGTTAAAAATGGGGAAAATGAGGTTCAGAGAAGAGAGTGTCTTACCCATGCTTATTCTATAAGGATTCTTTATTTTGAAGTTTCAGCATAACCAAAGGAATGGATCTCTAATGGTGGAAATATAGGCACCTGAACGGGCTTCAGGGCTTACTGTGAGGGCATGGTGGTTTCCTGGTAGCACTCTGAATCACAGGATCTGGGGGGCCAAGGTTAGTAAATGGAGGGAAGAACCATCATCTGGCCACTGGCACTTGGTTTCTACTACGCGGCTCCAATGTATCTTTTCAGTGTCCAGTCTACCTTAAGGCACAGCCGAATGGACGATAATCACTTTCCCTCTAACACACACCAGAGCTTCCCACTTTTGTGCCTTTGTTTGTGCTCTTTATCCCTCTGGAATACCCTTTCGCTCCTATTCACCAGATAAGGAAACTGAGGCTCAGAGAGGCTGGGCAGTTTTTTCAAGGTCACATGAAGGATAATGATTTCAAACTGGGGGATGCTGCTGTTTAAACCCAGGGGTGTAGCATTTAGATCCTGAAATGCAGCCCTGTCCTTCACAGCCCAGACCAGGACCTCTGGCCCGAGACCGTGGCCAGCCCTGACACCTGCTTATCTCTGCGTGGTCTCCTCAACCCTCCTGGAATGCGAGTCTCCTGAGGGCCAGGCTGTGTCTTCCCCACGTCTTCCCAGGGCTGTCCTTCTGGAGCTGAACGGGAGGAATCAGGTCCTGTTCAGAATTCTATAAAGTCCATCCCTCGGTCACCCACATTGGCCTACTAGCCCTGGCTGTAGGAGGAGGGCAGGGAGGGGCCCCTGGATGATGTGAGCAGCCCGCCCGCCTTCACACCGCTGATGAGAGGCAGAGGCCCAGAAGCAGGGCTGTGAGGCTGGCTGGGGGTGTGGATTTCCATTAGCTTCAGATGTCACTGACGGGCTGGATTTATGAATCAGGCACGAAATCCAGGAGCATGTGGCTCCACAGGTGCATTCTACCAAACACATAAAGAAGAACATACACTGGTCCTTTTCAAGCTCTTCCAAAAGAGGAAGGAACACTCCCAGAGATCTTCTATGAAGCCACCATCGCCCTGATACCAAAACCAGACAAAGACACCACCACACACACATAAAAAACCCCCAGTGAATCAGACATGAAGGATGGAGGAAAAGGAAGAATGTTGCTGTGCTCCCCTCAAATGTGCCTGATAAACCAAACAGTATTGCCTTCAATCGAACAGAGATATGGCCATGTCATCTGGCCTCTGACAAGCCTTCCTTCCTATTTACATTAGGTTCAGGCCTATTAACCTGAACCTATTAATATTAGCTATTAACCTATTAACTATTAATTAGCTTATTAATATTAACATGACACTGGACTCCCTAAAGTCCACTGGTTCCTGATCACACTGGGCTCAATCATCTTTGGGGGACTTCATACCTCCTGTTCTCTGCCTGCAATGTTCTAACTGGCCCCATCCCCCTTTCAAATTTATCTATTTGGCTGCACTGGGTCTTAGTTGCAGCATGTGGGATCTTTAGTTGTGGCATGTGAGATTTTTTTCAGTCATGGCATGTAAACTCTTAGTTGCATTATGTGGGATCTAGTTCCCTAACCAGGGATTGAACCCAGGCCCTCTGCATTGGAATCTCAGAATCTTAGCCACTAGACCACCAGTGAAGTCCCTCTAACTCCCTTTCTTAAGCCCCAAGCCTCCCCATAGTTCACCAGGTTCTCTTCAGCCTGCAGTATTCCAGCTGGCACCCCATCAAGGGGCCTTCCCCAATCTCCCTGGTCTGAGTTGTCATTCGCATTGGTTCTCTCACACTCACTCCAACTTTATATTGTAATTGACTAATTACTCAGAGTTATCCATTCTGGATTGTGAGGCCCCAGGGGAAGAATGCCCTTTATCCTTGTGTCTCCAGGCCCCAGCACAGTGTTGGGCACATAGCAGGTGCTCAATTAACGCTGTGGGCTTGCATGGATGGTAAGGGGGAGGGGTAGTGTGAAGACAAGGGCCAGAAGTGCAGGAGCTGATGACAGTGCAGTGGCTGATCCACAGGTGGAGGCTGGGAGGGACCCACTGGTGCCCCGCACCCACAGGCAGAGTTCCTAGTCACTGCAGGGGCTCACCTGAAAGATGGGGTACTTCACGTACCCGATCTCTATGCAGGTGCTGTCGTTCGTTGGTTTGCTGGAGAGGAGTGCTTTGAACCTGAGTGAGAACATAAAAGGGGAGAAGACTCACAAAGACATCCATAGCTTGCAAGGCTCAGCTCTCTGATGATAGAAACATGTAATATATCCTCCAACTCGGAAATATGATGACATATCCATAGATTGTCTAATATAATGTCCCCTGATATGATACCATAATCCAATTTGAAGTTAAAGCACTAAAGTTAAAAACAGTGCCTAGAACTGTTAAATTACTTCTCAAGCAGGTGATTTGAAAAGAACAAATGCCTTTTAAAACACTGTCCAGGGAATTCCAGCTGGTGGTCCAGTGGTTAGGACTCTGAGCTTACACTGCAGGAGACCCAGGTTTGATCCCTAGTTGGGTAACCAGGATCCCACAAGCTGTGCGGTGAGGCCAAAAGAATAAATAAAGTAAGAAACAAAAAACCACTTCCACCTTGCAGGCCCATCACAAAGGCTGCCTCCTTCCTTGAGTCCTTCCTGACTCAAATTTCAAGCTGCTCAGGTTCCCATGGAGCTCTCCAACTCACTCCTTCCTCCTACACAACCTTTGTTCCAAGAGGGGAGGGACTGCTGCTGACTCTTGCCTCTGCTGCATCCTCAGAGCCTGAACCAGGCTGGCCCTGATGCATGGTGGGTATTTAACGTCGTAGGCATCAACATCTGTTGATTACCTAACTGTCTCCCAAAAGGAATGACCTTCTGTTGGGGGTTTTAGATGCATTTTCCTGCCACTGGCTAAACGAGGTTCCTCGTGGGTAGAGACCCAGTCAGTGGAACACACTGATACTCTATTTACTTACTTATTTGGCTTCATCGGGTCTTGGTTGCAGCGCGTGGGATTTTCGCTGCACTATGCGGGATCTTTCAATATGGCACATACACTCTCTCGTAGTGGTACTTGGGTTCAAAGGTTGCAGTGTGGGCTCGCTGCTCCACAGCATGTGGGATCTTAGTGCCCCAACCAGGGATTGAACCCTCGTCCCCTGCAGTGCAGGGGATTCTAGCAACTGAACCACCAGGCAAGTCCCCCATGGATTCTAGCAACTGAACCACCAGGCAAGTCCCCCATACTCAACACATTTAGAAATAAGCTCAGACATGTCTCTTTTTATAAATTAAGCTTTACATTTGAAATAATTTCAGATTTATAGAAGAGTTGGGAACATAGTACAGAAAGTTCCAGTATGCCCTTCACCCAGTTTGCCCCAATGTTATCATCTGACATAGTCATGGTACCTTGTTAAAACTAAGAAGTTAACATAGGTACAAGCTACAGTTCATGGGGTCGCAGAGTCGGACACAACTGAGCGACTGAACACACACACACACACACACAGAGTATTGATATAGCTCTTCCATGATGTCACAACAGAACCATGCAAAGGATAGTATATTTTTCTTCCCTGTCCTTCACTATCTCCTGGAGTTTGCAGGGATGATGTTTTATTGTTGTCAACTCCAGGGTTCAGGAAAAGTAAGATTCAGGACCTGTGTATTTGAGCACCTTATGCCTAAGTTCCCTGATATTTGGAGAGCAGGCATTTCAAGGCTGCAGTGTGAGTTTTCAGGTTGCATGAGGACACCTGGCTAAGGAAGTTCAATCCAATCCACTCTCTACTCACGAAGCTCTGTGCTCAGTATGTGTTCCATCTGCCCAGAGGAACAGTGTCTTGGCTAAGCCACCCAAAGACTGCTGATTATGCTAGAGACTGCTCTGTATTCTTCTTCCAAATTGTGGTTAAAAAATACATAACATAAAATTTACTGTCTTAACCAGTTTTGAGTGTTTACTAATATTTACATGGAGTATATTCACATCATTGTGCAATCGATCTCCAAGACTTACCCTGTCCTCAAAAAACAACTCCTACTCCTCCTCCCCTAGCCCCAGTTCCCAGCCTACTATTTACTGTCTCTATGAACTTGATTTTCCCTGCTAGCTCAGCTGGTAAAGAATCTGCCTGCAATGCAGAAGACCTGTGTTCAATCCCTGGATTGGGAAGATCCCTTGGAGAAGGGAATGGCTACCCACTCCAGTATTCTGGCCTGGAGAAAAAAGTCAGACACAGCTGAGCTGCTTTCACTTGCATGAACTTGATCATTGATGGTTCATATAAAAGGAATCATATACGATAATATTTGTCTTTTTATGACAGGCATATTTCACTTCATATAATGTCCCCATTCATACTGTAGCATGTGTCAGAACTGGCTTCCTTTTTAAGGCTGAATAATGTATGTATATGTGTGTGTGCGTGCTTTTGCTTCAGTCGTGTCTGACTCTCTGTGACCCCATGGACTGTAGCCCACCAGGCTCCTCTGTCCATGGGATTCTCCAGGCAAAGATATTGGAGTTGGTTGCCATGACCTCCTCCAGGGGATCTTCCCAACCCAGGGATTGAATCTGCATCTCTTATGTCTCCTGCATTGGCAGGCAGGTTCTTTACCACTAGCGCCACCTGGGAAGCCCAAGGTATGTATACACTACATTTTAAAATCCAATCCTCCATGCATGGACTCCTAGGTGGCTTCTTCCTTTTGTCTTTGTGAATCATGTTGCCTGAACAAGGTATACAAATGCCCTATAATCTTGGAACCTAGATTTTGAGAAGAAAATCTGCCCATTCAGTGTCAGTGATGATACCATCCAAACTGAATTTTAGAGAATAGTAATAACCACCCTTATAATTCAGTGCTTTCAAAACTGATGATACATACCTTGGAGATGCTGTAAATAACAGCACTTTGTGAGCATAAAATGGTCTTCCTTCTACCAGAAAGGTGACATCTGACATTTCTTTATTGTTAAGGAAATGAGGATCTGGAACAGGAAAAGGAGAGAGGGTAGCTTTAGAGGAGAGAAGGATGAGGTTTGGATTCCTCTTTTGGAAAAGCGCTCATAAGAGCTGACAGGGAGGCCATGGTGATAAAATACTTGTTGGAGGGACTGTGACCAAACAGGAAACAGGATCAGTTACAGGAATGTGCAATTAACTGGAATTCAATATTTCACAGGGAATCTTCACAGCTTAGTTGTGATTAAAAGTAGCATTTCCCCTTAGAAGATTCACCCCCAGCCAGAGATCAGATGACCGTCAGGTGTGGTGGGTGACCACCCACCCCACCTCACTCCTCCTTCTCCAGCTCAGCGCCCTCCTTTCCGGACGGAAGTGGTTCCCACCCGTTTGCTGCTGTGTTTCAGGGGATTTGAAATCCAAGCCTTCTCTCAGGATCAGAGGCCAAGGAGCCAGGCTCCTGCCCTCATCTCCAAGAAAAAAGATGTGCCAGGCACCGTGCGAGCTGGCACCGACAGGTGGAAACTCACTCAGCCCTGGTAGAGAGGGGCCACAGTCAGCTGTATGACAGGGAAATGAAGCCGGGAGTCGCAGTGACTCGGTCAAGTGAGTGGCTGGTGGAGAAGCCAGGATGTGAACTTGGACGTTCTGACTCCAGGGCCTGCATTGCTAGGCACTGGAATCCTCTGATTTGCCTGGCATCTTAGGCATTTCCACTCGGGCTACAAAAGGTGCCAGCCCGTCCTGAGCTCAGCACTGCGGTCTTGCTGGAAAACCCACCAACTGGCCCAGGCACCTCTACCCCTACCCGATTCCACCATGCTCACTTTCCAAGTCAGACCCCTGGTCTGGCCCCCTTCACACACCCTGCTGTAACTTAGAACCAGAATTGGCCTTTCTGGCTGATTCTCCTCCTGGTTGATTCACCCTAGGTGGTGGCCCTGGGTATCCGCTACTCATATTTCTCTGGTAGTACCTATAGCCTCTTGACCTCTTCCCAATAAAAAAGCTTTAATCTAAACCATATAAAAAAGCATAAAAAGGTCAAATCATCTGTTAATTATACTCTTAAAAATTTTTTTATTAAAAAATGCAACAAAAACCAAACTTCTAAAACCTTTCACGTAAAGGGAAGAGACTGGAGGAGGAAATGGCAACCCACTCCAGTATACTTGCCCATGAAACCTCATCAACAGAGGAGCCTGACAGGCTATAGTCCATGGGGTCAGAAAAGAGCTGGATGCAACTTAGTGACTAAACAACAACAACAAAGAGAGGAAAGGCTATAGAGGAAGGCCAGCAACCCATCTCCCTCTGCTCAGACTCTCACTCCTACTATCCACCTTCAACTAGCTCCCACTTCGGCTTCCCAAACTGCTAACATCTCCTACCTTTAGCTCTTTTTACCATTCTCCCCCAGAATTCACTAGGCGGGCAGAGGACAATGTCATATAAAAAAATCAGGCGTGTGCTCTCCAGTTTGCCACAGTCCCCACCACTCCCTATTGTATTACACCAAACCCATTTCATTCATATACATGACCTTCCTGGCCTTATGGAGATGCCACTTTGGGACTTTTGTCACTACTCACTCTTCTCTTTCCTTATAAGCAGGTCCCTAAGGAATAACTATTTGACCATCTTTAGTTATCTGAGCTTGGAATGTCATATTGAAGATGCAAAACACTATATGCTTTATATTCCACTTATTAATTTATTATATTATGTCCTTTTTCTTTCATCTGTGAGCTTCGAACTTCTCAGGCCTGCCTTCTTTCTCTTGGTGTTTGGAATTACAATGCTTGGCCTGAAAACCAGCCCTTTTAATTGCTGCTGAAAGAAATCTCAGCAAATTCAGGAGGAAAAAAAATTTTCTCTCCTCTCCTATAGCTACAGGAGAGCAGATTTTATGCTGCGTCACTGAAACAGCCCTTGCAAATGTTTGCTCTAACAGGGGTGTCTTGTAAGGCACCAGATGTCAGAAATTATTGCTATGCCCTAGCAGTGTAACCCTCACTCTCTAAAGTCTATAAATTTGATGGATCTTCATGATTTGTTGCCCTGGTAATATTTTAATTAACACCTGCTTTCTACAAGGTAGAACTACTTGCAGTTTTAGTACATTTTGGGTTGCCTACATGCTTAAAATATTCAGAAAACTAAGATCATGGCATCCGGTCCCATCACTTCATGACAAATAGATGGGGAAACAATGGAAACAGTGCCAGATTTTATTTTTTGGGCTCCAAAATTATTGCAGATGGTGACTGACTGCAGCCATGAAGTTAAAAGATGCTTGCTCCTCAGAAGAAAAGCTATGACCAACCTAGACAGCATATTAAAAGCAGAGACATTACTTTGCACTAAAGGTCCATCTAGTCAAAGCTATGGTTTTTCCAGTAGCCATATATGGATGTGAGAGTTGGACTACAAAGAAAGCTAAGCACTGAAGAATAGATGCTTTTAAACTGTGGTGTTGGAGAAGACTCTTGAGAGTCCCTTGGACTGCAAGAAGATCAAACCAGTCAATCCTAAAGGAAATCAGTCCTGAAAATTCATTGGAAGGACTGATGCTAAAGCTGAAGCTCCAATACTTTGGCCACCTGATGCAAAGAACTGACTCATTTGAAAAGACCCTGATGCTTGGAAAGATTGAAGGCAGGAGGAGAAGGGGATGAGGACAGAGGATGAGATGGTTGGATGGCATCACCGACTTGATGGACATGAATCTGAATAGGCTCTGGGAATTGGTGATGGACAGGGAAGCCTGGAGTGCTGCAGTCCCTGGGATCACAAAGAGTCCGACATGACTGAGTTACTGAACTGACTGACATGAATGGGCATAAAGAAAACAAGGCAACCTTTGACTCAGCTGCTAAGTTTTCCACTTTAGCAAAAATTTGTGCCATTTAAATTAATAGGTTATTTGTGACAGGAACAAAAATACTTTAAAGCATTTCTATGAAATCAGCCTTTTCACTAATTTAAACTAGCTCATCTATTTCAAAAGTAGGGGCTTTGCTAAAGGGTAGCATTTTTCAGCTGCTTCCATTTCTCCAAAGTTTCCTGGTCTTCATAGGAAAAGGAAACAGGAAGCAGGAAAGTCCCCAACCTTAATGGGAACGGGAGTCCTTTATCTGTAATATTTTATCAGTCTCCAGGCAGTGAGAGACAAGCCTTTGCAAAAGAAGATTCATGCTTCAGGCTTCAAGGCAGTCAGGTGTTTGCCTTTTTCCCTGGGTGATTCACCAGGTTGCCAGCAGCCCCAGGATCTTCTGCATGAAATTGGTGCCCGATGGAAAGGTTTCTTCTCGAAAATCCCAGAGGCTGACTGGAGAAAGGTGGGATTGTGGCTTTGGTGGGGGACCTGGGTTCAGGCTCCAGCTCTGACTGAACTGATGCTGAAGCCTCTGCAGAGCCTCCCTGTCTTCAGCTGTGACCCAGATAACACTGCCTGCCTCCCGGGTAGCCCAGGGATTGTTTGAGAGAGTAGTGGGGAGCTTGGCTAGGGCTAGCTCAAAGCAAGTGTCCAAGAAGGGTGAAGAGTAATTACTGCCAACCAGATGGGAGTTCAGGGCATCCCATCTCAGTTCAGCACCATTCCCCGTGTGTGTGTGTGTGTGTGTGTGTGTGTGTGCATGCGTGTGTGTGTATGTGTGTGTGTGGTGTTTGTCTAGAGGGTGATGCTTGCTCATCTCTCCTTCCAGTTCCTTGCAGGACTTCCATTAGGGGCATACTACCGGCCTGTCACTGTATCCTGCTCATTCCATCTCAAGGAAGAGGAACTTCTTAGAGGAGAGGATGGGGGAGAGTGGCTATGCAGATCTCAGCCTTCTCTGGACTCTACCAGGCTACTGGAAGGGCGTGGGCAGTCATCACTGTCGGTGATGTGCAGAAGAAAGGTGCTCAGTGAAGGGATGAGGTGCTGGTGAGTCCCCTTGTCCATATCCCCAGTGTATGTTCTCCAGACAGTTTAATCATGTAACAAAGGTGATACCCCGATCTCCACCTGCCTCACTCCTGTATCCACCCTGTTTGCCCTCCAACATGCCCACCTTCTTCTTTTGCTGCGTTTGCTTCCTTCCTGTCCTCAAATCACAAAGCAACAGTGCAAGGTGGGACCCAGGCCCCCACTCACCCAGGCGTGAGGTCTGCTTCCGTTTGATCTCTGTGAGCTTGGGGATGGGGTACGGCCCGTAGCAGTGAGTGAAGATGACACACAGCTGCTGGCTGATCACTTCGTTCTGTGGAAAGGGAAGAACAGCTCACATTGATGGGGGCTGTGTGAGACCTCATCCGAGCCCCCATCCCTGCCCCTGCTGTGGAGCAGAGGAGCCCACAGACTGCCTGCAGGTTCCAAGAGAAATTCCCTGGACATCACACCTTCGCTTTGCCCGACAGGCCCTGGGTTTGCTTGTTCAGTTTGTCCACCATTTCTAGCAGGTGTATGGTGGAAGTTTAATTTGTAATGAAATCTTTTCTTGCTCCAATCATTTTTTTTTATTGGAATATAATTGCTTTACAATGTTGTGTTAGTTTCTGATATACAACGAAGTGAATCGGCCATGTGTATACATATATTCCCTCCCTCTTGGGCCTCCATCCCACCCCTCTCCCAATCCCAACCCTCAAGGTCATCTCAGAGCACTGAGCTGGGCTTCCTGTGCTTTATAGCTATCTGTTTTACACATGGAGGTGTATATATGCCAACCTCAATCTCCCAATTCATCCCACCCTCCTCATCCCCCCACTGTGTCCACATGTCCATTCTCTATGTCTGCATCTCTATTCTGCCCTTGGAAATACGTTCATCTGTACCATTTTTCTAGATTCCACCTATATCTGTTAATATACAATATTTGTTTTTCTCTGACTTACTTCACTCTGTATGACAGATTCCGGATCCACCCACGTCTCTAAAAATGAACTTATTTCATTCCTTTTAGTGGCTGGGTAATAGTCCATTGTGTATAGATACCACACCTTCTTTAACCATTCATCTGTCATTGGAGAGCAATCCCACTACTGGGTATATATCCAGTGAAAAACCATAATGCAGAAGGACACCATGCCCCAGTGTTTACTGCAGCACTATTTACAATATCCAGGACATGAAATCAACTTAAATATCTAATCATTTCTTTACTTGCATTGGAGAGCAAGTTTTGCAACTCACAGGATAGAAAATAAGTTTTTACCATAAGCACAGCTTTATCAATGCTGAAACATTCTGAGAGCAGCTAATTAGCCTAAAAATGGCAGCAGGAAGCCCTTCCGGTCCTGTGTCCGCACTCTCCACCACCAAGACACAAAGGCTCCTGGTTTAGCTTTCCTGTGCACTTGATTCTGGTGCTGAGGCATTTCTGGATCCAGAAGTGCTCAGCTGAGTCACTTTCTCCTAAAAAAAGTGTGTGTGTGTTTTGGAGGAATAGTTCTGTGATGGAAAACTACGGCTGTTCCAGTACTCTAGGAGCCTGTTTCTGATCAGCCTCCATCCTTCACGTCCTTCCCTCCTGTCCCACGGGGGCCCGTGCTGGCCCATTAATCTCCCTCCAACTGCAGATGTGCAGGAGGGAAGCCAGGAATCACAGCATGTTTGGGATGCTTTTTATTGGGTGAACGGGGTTGAAACCAGGGGCTAAAAAGCAGTGGTTAGATAACTCGATATTTACAATATATTAAGAAAAGTAGGTTACAACACAGTTTGTACCATGTAGTTTTGGAAATAAAAGCCTACATATGTATTTGGATTGATAGGTATAGAAAAAGGTCTGGAAAATAGAGTAGCTACCTTTGGGTGGGATGATGATGCTTTCTTCTTATATATTTATAACCTTTTTACAATAAACAAGTGTTGCTTTGTACATAAATGCAATAAATGCTATTTTTGATTTTAAAAAGATAGGTTTGGAACTACTAATGATGTTATCAGTTCAAGCTATGCTTGAATTTACTTCACTGTGTTCCTGAAAGAGAGGGATTGCAGTTCAACAAATGAAAAGAAATCCAACCCTTTGATCCTACAAGACACCATGTCACCTCAGATGGGGTGCAGAGAAGTGCCCAAGCGGAGGCAATTATATTGGACAGAAAAAGGGATTCTACTTTCAAAGATGAAGCCCTTGTGATGGAAGGTGTTACCTGCTCCTCTCACTTAACCCGCACAAAGCAACTGGCTCACGGTTCCAGTGGTGGTTCTCAACGTGTGGTCCCCAGACCACCTGAGCTTGTTAGAAATGCATGCCCTCAGATCCCATCTCAGACCTCTGACCCAGAAACACTGGGGGCGGGGCCCAGCAATCAGTATTTTAACAAGTTTTTTGCTGATTCTGATGTCCCCTTAGGTTTGAGAACCACAAGTTTAATGTTCTGAAATTCTGTCTTAGGTTCGACCTCAGCTGGCAACTGTAAATTTCCTCTGGTTTAAAGCCCGGCCATGGGCTTCCCTGGTGCCTCAGTGGTATAGAATCTGCCTGCCAATATAGGGGATGCAGGAGACTTGGGTGCAATCCCTGGGTTGGGAAAATCCCTTGGAGAAGGAAATGGCAACCCACTCTAGTGTTCTTGCCTGGAAAGTCCCATGGACAGAGAAGCCTGGAATGTTATAGTCCATGGGGTTGCAAAGAGTTGGACACAACTTAGTGACTAAACAACAACAAAGCCTGACCATAGAAATATGCTCCACTGACCAGCACGCAGCAGCAGTACTGCCTGGGAACTTTCGAGAAACGCAGACTCTCACCCTAGGCCCACTGAATCAGATCCTCATTAACATGCTCTGCAGGTGACTCCCGTGCACACTGATGTTGGAGATGCATCAGGTGGTAGGTCCCTAGTCCCCCACCTCTGGGATCTAATGCCTGATGATCTGAGGTGGAGCCCATGTAATAGAAATAAAGTGCACAATAAATGTAATATGCTCGAATCATCCTGAAACATTCCCTCTCACTCCCCAGTCCATGGAAAAATTGTTTCCCATGAAACCAGTTCCTGGTGCCAAAAATGGTTGGGAACCGCTGCCCTAGAAGATTGCATGCCCTAACCCCGGGGACTAGGAACATCATGAGATACCATGATGCCCGTCAATCTGTTCTCTTTCAGGGCAAAAGGGACTTGGCAGGAGTAATTAAGGTCACTAAATAGTTGCCCTTAAAAAAGGGAGATTACTTTGTGTTATCTGGGTGGGCCCAGTGTAATCACATAAGCATTTAAAATGCATGAGAAATTCAGGAGGGATGGAGGAGAAGAGGAAGTCAGAGGGACTGGAAGCCTGAGAAGGACTTGATGAACTGTTTCTTGAAGACGGCAGGGGCCACATGGTAAGCTTGAGAGGGAATGCAGGCCCTGACACTGGGAAAAAATATGACCCCTACTGACCCTCAACAAAGAAATGCAACCATGAGGAACTGAATTCCATCCAAACCTGAATGAAGTTACAAATGGATTCTTCCCGAGTGTCTAGGAAGGAACCCAGCTGCTGACACCTTGATATTGGTCTTGTGAGGCCCTAAACAGAAAGCCCAGCTGAGACCCTATGCCTGGACTTCTGACCCATGGAAACCACAAGATGGTAAATGGGTGTCATCTTCAGCTTCTAAATAGAAGTCATTTGTTATTGTGGCAGTGGAAACTAATACAGTTCGACTAGCGTTTGCCTCAGGTGGACCCTATTTTGTCATCCCTATGACCCCAGGGAGTCCGACACATTAGGGATGCCCAGTGAGTACTTGCATGTCATGTGAAAGATGAGACGGTGACCTGCAAGATGCTCTGTGCAAACTATGTTGACGAATGGTGCTGGACTCACTACTTGCACCCAGGGTTGTCTCAGGAGCCTTGCTGGTAAGTCAGCCCCCGTCTCATCAACTCTGGGAAGGAATGAAGATGTCCTTCCTGGACTTGATGACCCTTAGGAGAAGCCTGGGGGTTTCCCCGGTGCCCCAGTGGTTAAGAATCTGCCAATGGAGGGGACACAGGTTCAATCCCTGGTCTGGGAACTGAGATCCCATGTGACACAGGGCGACTAAGTCTGTGTGCCACACCTACTGGACCCATAGCCTAGAGCCTGCGCTCCACAAAGAAGTCACGCAATGAGAAGCCTGCGCACTGCAACTAGAGAACAGCCCCCACTCTATCCACAACCAGAGAAAGCTCGCGAGCAGCAGTGAAGACCCAAGTGGGGCAAGCAAGCTCCCATCTCTCCAGGACCTCACAGCTTGCCCTTGCTTCCTCACTTCAATATGTGTTGTATCATCCGAGAAAGTAAAGACAAGGGCTGCCTGTTCTGAAGGAACCCTCCTCAAACACTTAGAAATTATCTGGGAGGCACATAGCTCCCCACTCTGATGTCAGGGCTGCACATAGTGATTTGATTCCAAAGAGCACAGTCTGGAAAGTGAGAGGAAGGGGAGAGTAAGTCTGCGGTGGAGGAATTTGGCAAACACGGCGTCAGCCAGGTGATCAAGGTCATCATCTCCAGTGATGAGTCATACTGATAATATGTACCTTTGATGTGATGAGAAAGGCACTTTACCTCTGAGGTCATCCTTCCCAAAGCCTCAGTCTAAAGCCTCAGTCTGAATCATGAGACAATCAATGCCTCTTCCACTAGAGGGGCAGCCTATAAAATAGTGACCAGCACTTCTCAATAAAGGTCATAAAAAGCAAGGGAAGCCTGAGACTTCCCTGGAGGCCCAGTGGCTATGATTTCACCTTCCAGTGCAAGGGGTGCAGGTTTGATCCCTGGTCAGGGAGCTAAGATTCCCACATGCCTTAGGGCCAAAAAACCAAAACATAAAACAGAAGCAATATTGTAACAAATCCAATAAAGACTTAAATTACCCACATAAAAAAAATCTTAAAAAACCAACACACACAAGAAAAAAACAAGGAAAGGCTGGGATACTGTCTCAGCCAAGAGTAGCCTAAACAGGTATGACAACTAAATGTAACATGGTGTCCTGGATGGGATCCTAGAGCAGAAAAAGACACTGGATACAGAGAAAATAGCAATAAAGCATGGGATTTAGCTAACAATTGGAGAGGGGAATGGCAACCCAAACCAGTATTCTTGCCTGGAAAACTCCATGGACAGAGGAGCCTGGAGGTCTATAATCCATGGGGTCGCAAAGAGTCAGACACTACTGAGTGACTAACACTTAGCTAACAATAACAAATCCATGTTGGTTCACTGTTATAATGAATATACCACACTCACACAGGATGCTAATAATGGGAAGCAGGT